CACGATGTCATCGCTTGTGGCCAGTGCACAATAAGCAGTTATGAGCAGCGGGCTGTGTAATATGTGTGAACTCTTATTTTTGTTATCACTTGGCCATTTGACTTATAACAGTGTCCAGTGTTTACCATACATTGAGTAAATAGATTTTCCAAAAGGCTTATACTTTGTTGAATAAACTGAGCAATGCGCGTTTCAAAATTAAAATGCGGCGCCGATGTTTTAACATGAATGTATCTTTGAAAAGAACCGAACGTCTTCAGAAAAGCTTCGATGTCATTTTCATTTTGTCTTATTTCTGGGTACTGATGTTCAGACTAAACCACATGCACTGCAGCAGGACCCCTCCAACATATTACTAAAAAAAAGAGACGATAACGTCATTAAATAAGGGTAATTCAAATATATGAAGCCTGACACCCTTAAACATGTTTCATTTATACATACCGGACACTGCAGCAGTCAGCCGCATTAAATTGACAGGGCCTCTGCCCTGTGAGCACTGAACAGTATAGAAGCAAAGGTTGACACTAACAGAAACTGGATAATGCAGACAACCGCAACACCAAAGCAGAGCCAGTACGATGCGACAGAGCTGCTGGATAAGGGAGGATTCAAAGTTGTGGCCCTGGTCAGAATGAATCCGACCAGGAACCTCAAACTTATAGAACCACTCCACAACAAGAACCTGGGCCACAGTCTCGGCACGTTGTTCCCGTGTAGGGACAGCCAGGGTGTATTTAGTAAAAACATCAGTCATTACTAAAATATTTTCAATGCCTGAACGAGAAGGTTCAAGCATAGTAAAATCAATAGCTAAAATCTAATTTGGCCTTGAAGCCAACAGATGGCCCATGAAACTACGGGCAACATGCTGAACATCTTTAGCAACATGCTGAACATCTTTAGCAGACTGACACTTTTCACACTCCTGGCACCAACGGGCCACTTCAGAACACATACCCGGCCAATAGCATCGTTTCCATAATAACTCAGTGGTTCGCTCGATACACTGGTGTCCATGCTCCTGATGAAGCTGTGTCAGAACCTCAGCTTTCAAGATGGTGGGCAAAATCAACTGATAAATCTCCTCCCCATCAGGACGACACACCCGTCTGTATAACACACCGGCTCTTTCCACAAAACGATCCCACTGATGGAGCAAAATTAAACTGGACTTAGACAACACTCTACGTTCTTCTACGCTAGGGAACACTTTTCATTTCCAAAAGGGCAGATCCTCCCTAATAACTGGGTCTGCCTACTGCAGAGAACTCAAATCGGCAGCACAATGGCTAGGCAGAACAGAAATAATTGCTTGAGTGGCTTGAGAAACCACATCTACACCTCCCACTTGCTGCACAGCATGAAGGACTGCAGACATCAGGTGGGTACCGCCTCGACAGGGCATCTGCGTTTCGGTTACTTTTCCCTGACCTATACTTTATCTCAAAATCAAAAGCAGCAAGTTGTGCTGCCCAACGCTGTTCAGTAGCCCCAAGCTTTGCTGGCGCAAGATGACTAAGGGGGTTGTTATCAGTGAAGACTACCCATTTGTGCCCTAGCAAATATTCCCGAAACTTCTCAGTCACGGCCCACTTGAGCACCAAGAACTCTAACTTCATAGAACTATAATTGGACATATTGCGCTCAGTGGCCCTAAGATGGCGACTTGCATAGGCAATAGGCCGCACCTTTCCTCATTGTTCTTGGGAAAGAACGGCCCCTAAGCCACTATAGCTAGCGTCGACATCTAGAATGAAAGGTGAGGAGAAGTCAGCGTAAGCGAGAACAGGAGCAGAGGTAAGTTTACTCTTTAATGCCTTGAAACTACTCTGACAATGTTCCGTCCAGGCACCACCAAAACTCTGTCCCCTACATTTCTTTAACTTGCCTCCTGCCAGTTCAGCCACCCGTTTATGCAGAGGGGCTGCCAACTTGGCAAACCCCTCCACAAAATGGCGGTAAGCCTAGAAATGAGCCAAATCCGAAACGCTAGTTGGAGTATGCCACTGGGCCACTACTTCAACCTTGCTTTGGTCTGTAGCAACACCTTGAGGTGACACGATATGTCCTTAATACTTTACCTCGCGTTGAAAGAATGCACACTTCTCTAACTTGGCTTTAAGTCCCTCAATCCCTAATCGACACAAGACCACTTCCAGCCTTTCTAAATGTTGGGCCACGGAGGAAGAGAACACCACAATGTCATCCAGATACAACAACAAGGACTGACATTGTTGGTCACCAAACAACCTCTCCATCAGACGCTGGAAAGTGATGGGAGCGTTGCAGAGACCAAACGGCATTCTGTTCCACTCAAATAGGCCAAATGGAGTACAAAAAGCAGTTTTGGGTCGGTCAGCCTCTGTGAAAGGGACCTGGTTATACCCGCTGGCCAGATCCATTGTGGAGAACCAGCGGGCCCCTGTCAGAGCATCCAGGGACTCTTCAATACGAGGCAAAGGGAAGGCATACTTCCTGGTTTTAGAATTTAGTTGACGGTAGTCTACACACATGCGTAGACTACAGTCCTTCTTTTTAACCAGGACAATGGGAGAGGCGTATGGACTGCAGCTCTCTCTGATCACCTGTGACTCCAGCAGTTGGTTAATATGTGCTTTCACTACCTCATACTCTGAAGGGGGTATCCTCCTGTACCGTTGCCTGACCGGGGTGTCGTGTATCGTCTAAAAAAGGAATATCATGTGAAAGGAGGTTAGTACACCCTAAATCCCCCCCATGGGCTGAGAACACAAAGTAGTACTTTTGAAGCAGTACTCTAGATGATCAAAATCATGATGGGGGGGATAATTAAAGGGAAAACAACCAAATGAATCTTTCCAGAAGTTTATGCTGAGTAGTTCCGGGGTAATGACGTATGAGGTCGGCTTTGTGCATGCGCTGCTCAGAAGTGACGCACACGGAAACGCAGCGGAGAGATCAAAACAAAACAACTGTCAAGAATTAGAAGTACAAAACGAGGATTTGTAAAGAAGAATGTCAGAGGATTTCGATATAAGCCAAGAGGAGACTGGTTTTCCTTTGCTAAAGTAAGGAAACTCTGCTTCCTTTGATCCAGTAAACAAACTTTGTTTTTTTACGAGACTCACTGGTGCATGCGCAATGCTGACCTCATACGTCATGCTCCCGGAACTGCTTCTGTGTACAACTGTTGGCGCAAGCTAGATTAAAGTGATTATTACTTTTTGAATATGGATATTTTTCTTACAAAAACGCATCGATTCGCTACAGAAGGCCTTTGTTCACCCCCCGGAGCCGTGTGAGACACTTTTTTTTATGGATGGGCGATTTTTATTTAAGTTCTTTTGGACTGAAGCAATGCAACACCCGCTGAGTGGCATTAAACAGCTTGAAAGATCAAAGACAATTTTTAATATAACTCAGACTGGATTCGTCTGAAAGAAGAAAGTCATATACACCTAGGATGGTGACCCATACTTGGAATTAGTGCTCTGCATTTAAGCCATCCAAAGTGCACACACACAGCAGTGAACACACACACACTGTGAACACACACCCGGAGCAGTAGGCATCCATTTTTGCTGCGGCGCCCAGGGATCAGTTGGGGGTTCGGTGCCTTGCTCAAGGGCACCTCAGTCGTGGTATTGAAGGTGGGCGATAGTGCTGTACATTCACTCCCCCCACCTACAATCCCCTCCGGTTACGAGTCCGACTCTCTAACCATTAGGCCACGACTTCCCCACAATATAACGTGAAACCTATGAAAATGGTTTAAAAAAGCACATGGCGCCATAGTTTCATCACTTTAGAGTGTCACAGTGACCGTCTTTTTGCAGTAAAGCACCTGTCATAGTTTAATGAGAGGGAAGATGACATGAAGCGACCCGAGGTTAGCTGCATTGAAAACAGATGAGTGCACATGTGCATATAGAGCTCCCGATCGAGGCGAAGTTCACGGGTTTTTGTCCACAGAATGATAAGAGCACACATTTTAACATTATATTATTATTTCACACTCAGTATTTTAACTTAAGTGCTGCAAGCCATGCATACAATGCCAGACAATGACAGTTCCCCTTCAGGAACTCGAACTGCGTCGAGTCGCTTTGGGAACGCCCTTGCGTGACCGCGTTCTGAAGCACGTGTCAAATCCGTCCAATGGAGCAGCGAGACGTCACGAGCAGGGTGACGTAAGCACCAGAAAGCATAAAGGCACATCCGGCCGGGCGCAAACCAGCTTCGATGAAGTAGCGCCTGCAGGGATGCAGGGAGTATGGCAAAGAGACGCAGCGTCTCGTTCCCTCGGGGAACCATGGTTACATACGTAACCTAGAGACGATTTCTGGTATGCAAAACAAGTACTTTAAAGGAATTCCTTAGCTTCTTGCCATTACTGTGGCAGCCAACAACAGCACAGCTTAACCCTCCGCAAACTTTTATATTTAGTTATTGAAAAAGTTTCAATTCAATCAATCTTTTTTACCCCGTTTTAACATGGATTTCTATGGAGACTGGCCGTAGATGTCGGTCAAGATTGCGGATAGCAGCGGCACCACATAATATCCGTGTTCTGATTGGTCAGATCGCCTGTCAATCAAGCTCCCTGCGAACAGTCAATTAGCTGTTTATGCTGTGGGTAATTTCTGCAGGAGTTCTTTACCCAGTCTAAATAAACAAAAGACACATGAGACATAATGAATCTCCAGCCGTCAGATAAAAGCCATTAATTGACAGACTGTCTTCCAAAGGTCAAATAAACAATCTCTGATTATTACCTCAAGAAAACTAAGTCTTAAAATGTTATATGGTGTAAACCATATTACCACCTCTGTAATTCTCAAGGGGGGCTTTGAGAAAAAAATACATTTATGTGTTTATGCACCAGTATTTAATCATGTTATTGCTCAACCAGTAACATGGACCATAATTAATCTGACGACACACACAACTGATATTTTATCATGTTGCCTCTGAATGTGTTGATGATAAGTCTTTAACTGTTTTCAAATAATTATAAGGGAGAGCAGGGGGAACCAGGAGCACCAGGCCTGAAAGGTTCAAAGGTTAGTCTTTATTCTTTTGTAACCCACGTGCATTTGAAAGTTAAAACAATTAATATGTAAAGCTAAAGTATTAAAGCAAATCAAATGTGTTACATATTAATATAACAAACAGCAAATATTATACTTTCTCAAAATACTTAAATATAATATTGGTCCATTACAGGGGGATTCAGGAGACAATGGTGATGTAGGCCCAACAGGATCACAAGTGAGTAAAGTCTAAAATGATTTTTAGACAACTCTGACTAGCAAATGTAACACTGGTCTGTACATTAGCTTTATTCTTACAGCATTTCATTGCTGTGGTGTATGAAACATTTTTTTTTTTGCTGATGTAATTGGTTTAAGGTTGCACTTCAGGATTTATTGATTGTTCACAAATCCAGGGCATAAAACTCATTCTGATTCTTCTAATGTTGTGAAACAGCTGGTAAATAAGCAGACAGTAACAAGATACACTGACACTACACTGACGATTTTGTTCAAAGCCTTGATCAAACAATAGGCAAAACAGTTTAAATTGGTTGGCAAATCAGTTTGAATTATTTGTTCAGTTCCCTGCATGCACTGAATTGTTTGAAGCAGTTTCTCACTCGGAGTCGTAACGGGAAATTTAAGAACATGGAGAACATAAATAGCATTGGATGAACCTACAGTAAATTGAAAGCAAATCTACAAATGCATCTTATTGTTTGGCAGCGAAATATACATATATTTGTACTTTTACTTGAGTAAATTTATAAATTAGGAATTTATATTTAACCACTTAATGAATATATTGTTTTTGTTCAGGGGCCACCTGGGGAGAAAGGTGACCAGGGTACAACTGAAATTATAGACTACAATGGAAACATCCAAGAGGCTCTTCAGGTTAGTGGAATCATGTCATATTTATTATCTTTCATTGGAAATCATATTTCTAACCTGTAATGAGCTGCGCACGTTAAGACAGCTTTCATATCACAAGCCAAAGTGCTCAATTCCTAATATCTGGTCAAGTAATTGAGAAGAATTATGACTGAAAGTAAGGATTGACATAAAATTGCATGAACTTCAGTCTGACTGTTCACACTGAATTAACTTTTAAATAATTAAAATACACACCCAACAATGAATAATGGATAACGTTCTACAGTAGTGTTTTATGTGGGGCCTGAAAAATAATGGGCACAGACAGAAAGCATAACACACAGGTTGGTCTGATGCATAACTGTAATCTTATCTTTTACCTTCCCTCCTTCCTGACTGACTACAGAAGATAACTACTATTACAGTTACGGTAATTCACCTCTGTTTTGTCTATGTGTTATATATGTGTTGTATCTTGATCAGCATGAATTCAATACTTCCATAAATGTGTCTCCCATAATTCTGCTAATTCTCTTACAGGTGCCTTATTGATTAAACACTATGTGTTGCTGTGCCAATATTTGTTAACATTTGTTTTATCGGACTTGAGATAAAGACTTAATTTAATAACAAGGATCAAAGTGTGCGAATGTTGTTCTGTCTGTCTAGGGCTAGGCTCTTTCTCAGCTCTATATTCAGAGTGCTCAGATTAGACCTGTCCAATTTAACCTATGTTTGTTATCACAGAAGTAAGAAATGACACGTCACAAGTGTCATGTTTTGTATATAACAACAAATGTGTGAGAAATGTGTCACTTGTGTGCTGCAAGTGTAATTTGTCATTCATTTTGTGCATCTTTACAAAACAAACAAATAAATATTTGGTGCATTTATCTTCACATTATAATTTTTTTAATGTTCTTCTTTTATTTATTTTTATGACTTAGGGTCCCCCTGGGCCTCCTGGACCAGTTGGACCAAAGGGGATGAAGGTAACAACTTAATATATTAACAATGTGGCCATTATGGGGAATTAAATGAGGGTCTTATGTGAGAGTCTAGCATTTTATGTGTTTGCGTCTGCAAACTTTGTGAAGTCGAAGATCCTAATGTGATTGCAGTTCATTTCAACCTATAAATAAGTGTTTTTGCTTTTCACAGGGTGATCAGGGTGTTCCTGGACTTCCTGGCCTGGATGGTGAAAGGGTAAAAGGACTAAAATGTTCTAATTGTCTAGCTTCTATTGTCTGTTGTGTGACCCATATCTAACCACACTTTAAATTGTTATTTAATCCTATGTCACAATTAGTATAATTCACATGTTCTCAGGGTCACAAAGGTTCAAAGGGGGACATGGGAATCCCTGGAATATCAGGAGAAAAGGGATCAATGGGTCTTCCTGGATTACAGGTAAAATGATCTCAAAATGTAATTCGTTGATGCTTGTGGTATTTCACATAACGTGCAATGCTTGATACTGTTTAAGTCATGTCTTGATAATGTGTCCACAGGGTGTGAATGGTCTGAAAGGAGACAAAGGAGACACTGGTTTGCCTGGCCCTCAGGGACCCTCGGTAAGTAAAGCCAACAAAATGTGAATTAAGAATGTGTGTGTGTGCACTTACAGTCAGCAACAGCTATAGCAAACTGGGAGTAATCTTTGTTAGAGTGGCAGTTTGCATGATGTCAGTACTGTTACATACCCCCCTTAAAGTCTAGGGTTAGGAAAAGGAGTGTAACAATAATAATGGGGAGAGAATAAAAGAACTACCATCTCCAGGTCCCAGGCCAGACACAAAACGCTCAGTGACACCAGATTTAAAATAAAACAAGATATTTAATTAAACTGTGGGAAGTAAATAAACAAAAGCTTCAGGAGGGGAAAGGCCGAAACAACAAGCAAAAGAGCATTCTTACTACAGTGTGTTTAAGGAATATATATATATATATATATTTATTTATTTATTTAAAAAAATTACTTTTTCACGATATTCAAATTTTTTTCTGTAGGGTGCCTTTTGGTGTCCTGTACATAAATAACTATTTTGCCATGATAACTTAACATAAAAATGACTATGAAAGGGTATGTTATATTAGGCTAAGTTTTTATATTCATAACAAAAGCATTACTTGGCCCTTTAGATACATTTTCTAGATTTTTTTTAGTTTTGAGGATGCGTGTTATTTTGCTATGTCCCATGCACTGCTCATTAAATTTGAATGAGAGTAGAATACAGTCAAATCATAAAATAAAAAAATTTTGTTCTCCTATTAATATTTTGTTAAATAAGAAATTACTCAATTTGAGTGTATAGATCATTTGGTAAGAAAAACTATATTTTTATTTAATAAAAAAAGAAGAGTTTGTCCATGTCCCTTGAATGGTTGTCCACCCTGTCATCTTGGGGAATCCGCCCCTTTAAGAAAAGGCTATCCCCTTTAGTGACATCAGGAAAACAATTTTTTTGTCTCTTCAGTGGCGGGAATTTCAACGGCTGAGGTGAATAAGTTGGTGACTTTTCAATTGACAAATTTTCTTCGTATGAGTTTGCTTACTTGCTTTGCCAAAGCTTAACATGTCCACCCTGTTGGCATAAAATATGGCAGAAGTGATTAGAATACAGTATTTTCAAAATATGTAAGTTTAAATATACCAAATTCTCTTCAACAACCAGACTAACTATTTAGCTAGTCACAGTTTGTTGTTAGCTAATATGCTAATTGAAGCTCAAAATGTCCACCCAGACAGGTGGTATATCAGTGTGATTGAGGATGTAATTATTTAATTTATTATTATTATTATTATATTATTTTTTTCGAAGTTGAATAAATGTTTCATTGTCATATTTTGTCATGCTTTGTGTGTTCTGCTTTATGTGTCCACCCTGTCATGTGCTGGTCCACCCTGTCATCTTGATATTTTACAATAATATTTTAAATAATAATTCAATCATATCTATATAATCCAATGTGTTCAATAGCTAGGTGTGGGGGCTATAACAGGTAATATATATACAGGTGCATCTAAAAAAATTAGAATATCGTGAAAAAGTTATTTTTTGTAACTTATTTCAAAAAGTTAAAGATTTAAATATTTTAGATTCATTACATGTAAAGTAAAACATTTCCAATGTTTTTTTTTGTTTTTTGTTTTTTATTAGAGCTTGCAGCTCATGAAAGTAAAAAATCCAGTATCTCAAAATATTGGAATATTTCCTAAGGGATTTGCAAAACAGTAAAGTATGTTTATTTATGCTCTCAATACTTGGCTCCTTTAGCACAAATTACAGCATCAGTGAGGTGTAGCATGGAAGTGATCAGCCTGTGGCACTGCTGAGGCACTATTGAGTCTTCAGCTCGTATGTATTGTTGGATCGACTGTATTCAGACCCTTATATATATATATCCTCCTGACTACCAGCTATGGAGTTTTGTCCTCTCTAGTCTAGAGGACATTATTTTTTAGCGATTTCTCTGAGATCTTACATGCCACAGTTTTAAGTCTGGATGTCCTGTACAGAGCACATTCAGGGCTTTTTTAGAGATACCAAATGATTGGATGCTTCACCATGACTACTCCCTCTCCTATGGCTGACGTTAATTTAGTGATTAAATGTAACACCCTTATGGAAATATGCTAATATTTTGTAATGATCGTTTAAATCTGACTAATTTTCAAATTGTCATAAATCAACATCTCAGGAAAATGTTATGGGGTTTCAAATCAAAATATGACTTTCTGTTATGAAACAGGACATCGATTTCGTTCATAGTCACTGTAGAGGACACCAGGACTTAAAGCATGTTTATTACACATTTTGGGATACACAACAAATTAATAGGGGGGGAAATTATATAGCAATATTCCTATGAAAAATTAGATATTATTATGGAAATCTTGCCAATTATTACTCCCATTATTGCACTTGTTTTTTCATTCTATGTTGCCCCAAAAATACATTAATATGCTAATTAGATACAGTTTATAGATACATTGTATATAATGGGAAAACCCATTTATGGCCATTTTATGGCCTCTCTCATAGCTACAAGGTGTGAGTAGATAGGTCTCCTCATTTTGAGGTAAATGTGTTCAAAAGTCTGAAAAATCTGTGTGTGACATTAAGGAACGTCACTACTGAACACCTTTTTTCTGCAATTAAGCACACTTTTTTGGGAGTTATTCCATAACATTTAGTTTTTATATGTATACCACTGTTGCTAGCTAACCATGTGCTGATTAGCATCTTTGAGCTAGGTTCAAAATTATCTCAAATTGTCACTACCTAAACAGTCATTACTGAACCGTCATAATTGTTTCGGTAGTGACAAATGGGAACACATAAGCCTCATATTTGGGGTAAATAAACAAAATTTTAGTACAGTTATGCAATTTTTTTGTATTTTAGTATGTTTTAGTAGTCTTTTAGTAGGTGAGTTAAAATTCTGTAGCATTACTGTTACTACTGAAAATGTGCTGTTGCTACCGAAACATGGGGTGTTTTGTCAAAAATAAATTATACTGAGTTATCGACTAAGATGTTATGATAGATTTTGGTTCAGTGTATATTCAAACTAATTAATCCTTAACTGATCCTTAAATGAATCAGTATGGTCAACTTTTTACCTTTTACAAAGAAAAAATGGGTTCAAAATACAACAAATCTCATAAATTACACTTGAAATATTGTAATTGTAATTAAAATGTAATTGGATTTAAAAACTTAAAAAAATTTGCGCTGTCTGCCATCTGCTCTGTACAGTGAAAAGCGGGATTCATCCGTGAAGAGAAAACTCTCCAAAGTGCCAGGCGCCATCAAATGTGAGCATTTGCCCACTCAAGTCGGTTACGACGACAAACTGCAGTCAGGTCGAGACCTCGATGAGGACGACGAGCATGCAGATGAGCTTCCCTGAGATGGTTTCTGACAGTTTGTGCAGAAATTCTTTGGTTATGCAAACCGATTGTTGCAGCAGCTGTCCGGGTGGCTGGTCTCAGACGATCTTGGAGGTGAAGATGCTGGATGTGGAGGTCCTGGGCTGGTGTGGTCACACGTGGTCTGCGGTTATGAGGCCGGTTGGATGTACTGCCAAAAGTCTCTGAAACACCTTTGGAGATGGCTTGTGGTAGAGAAATGAACATTCAATTCACGGGCCATTAATACAGGTAACGTGTGGAGGACAGAGGAGCCTCTTAAAGAAGTTGTTACAGGTCTGTGAGAGCCAGAAATCTTGCTTGTTTGTAGGTGACCAAATACTTATTTTACCGAGGAATTTACCAATTAATTCTTTAAAAATCCTACAATGTGATTTTCTAGATTTTTTTTCTCATTTTGTCTCTCATAGTTGAGGTATACCTATGATGAAAATTACAGGCCTCTCTCATCTTTTTAAGTGGGAGAACTTGCACAATTGGTGGCTGACTAAATACTTTTTTGCCCCACTGTATATATATACACTCATACACCTATATATTTCATTTTCAGTTTTAATTTTGCTCACATTTACAGATTATTGGGCCCCCTGGAGCACCTGGTCCACATGGACCACCTGGCCCCATGGTGAGTTAAAAATGCACAACAGAAATGGCATAAGATAGTAACACTTTTTTTTAATAGAATCTTGAAACACACACATGCATAAATACAGTGTGGTTTATGCTTGAAACAAAAACCCTTTGCCAGTCTTAATATATTACATTACATTAGGAACAATGCACATTTAGCCAGTTGTTATCACAGAATTTTTTTTTTTGAGTGCTCAGGACCTCGATACGAAGCTGAGGGATTTTGAAGGAGTTTATTCTGCGATAACAACCAGCTGGTTGTATATTGTATCACTTATTACATGACTTCTAGACACATAAAAATTTTTTATAAACTGACAATATATTGATTTGAGTTTAAATATTTTATCTAAAAAAAACTAAAAGCTTCTATAAAAGAAAAACATCTGTCTATCTAGATAAATCATCTAAGGTTATGCATGTAACCATGGTTCCCCGAGAGGAAACGACACTGCGTCCTCTAGCGGACACTTTGGGGTATGCTGCCAGTATGACCGTTGTCTGAAGGACATGTGAAAAACTCCAGTCCTATTGGTCAACACAGCCTGTGACGTCTTAGTCTGGTGAACATGTCACCAACTTAGTTGTTTAAAGGAGACGTGAAACAGGCAGGCTGAAGGCATGACAAGGGTTACATGCATAACTCAAGACGTTCCCCTTCTAGGGAACTCGTGGGGAACAAAATGCCAACTATGCCATGCCGAGACACATGCCTGTCCACCAGGTGAGAGAGCACCAAGGAAATGACAGACATACACCTAACTTTTTCTCAGAAGGGGGCCAAGCCACTGACACCCCGGGCTGCTCACATAACCTGGCAGAAATGGGGAACCCAATTTCAAATAAAGGGGAACACCCAAACTAAGTTAAGAACACAGCTATCCACAGATAGCTATGCTATGTGAGCAACACTAGCCTGGATACTCAAGATCACTGAAGAGGCTAACTAGAAAACCTCTAGATAGGAACTCAAAAGCCGCGTTTCCACTGTCGGGCTTTCCACTGTCACTTCCAGGGCTCGATCGTGCCTCGTCAGTGCTTCTTCGGGGCCAACGGCCCGGATTTTTTGGCCCGACGAAAACCTTGGGCCAAAGCGGGCCAGCTGGGGTTAGAGGAGTGGTTATGAACAAAGGTGGAGTTTCTCTGCGTCTGGAGAGCATCAGCACCGCGGATCATTTCATAAAGTTAACAGATAACACCAGCATTAAAGACTTTTTAAATAATTTTATTTCAAAACTCACTTTCAGACAGCAGCAAGTGTTTGAAATAACTTAATCCGATGTGGATTATGATCACAATACAAGGCAGAAATATTTATAAGCGATGCAAAAGACTATGCACGCTAGCCATTAACGTTACCATAGTAAACATGGTAAATACGACCGCTTGAAGAAATCAGACGTCAGCGTCCTACTCTCTATCACAATCGTGTATTTATTTAGTTACATATTTTATCTGTCATAAGTCTCGTCTCGAAAGTTTAGCTCCGCGTACGTCATAAAAATATAATAATGGTTTTTGTTCGGGAGCTTTTATAAAAATATAGAAATGTTCATTCTTTCTAAATGTGATGTATATACTGTGACTACAAATAAACAGAAACAGACTCGACTGAGTATGTTCATACCGGCTATGTTCATACCGCTTTATTTCTGTGTAACTAATTTTCAATCCTGATAAATTAATTCATTGTGATCAATGTATCACTTGTTATTGTAAAACATTGATGCTTTTGGATTTAAATCTTTAACCATGCATGCAAAAAAAACGGCCACTTTCATCATGTTCGTTTTGTGATTGCGCTAGTTCCAGTGACTTATTTTTTATTCGTTTTCTGAAAACTTCTCTTTGTTGGTGAAATTATGGGGTTGCGTGACGTTGTTCCTGAAAGGGCAGGTTTTAGTGAAGCGCAGCAGAGCTTCTGGCCCGACGGTGGAAACGCATCGTGATTTTGGCCTCGGTGCTACAGGTCCGAGGCTATTACCCCCGCCCGGCCCGTTTAAAGCACTGGCTCGCACTGGCACAACAGTGGAAAAGCGGCTAAAGAGATTGCTACTTAAACCCAAGTAAGGAGAGTAGCTGCTGAGCTAGAATACGGCTATCCTCGGATATCTATATTCTAAGGGTCTTATGAAAGGCTCGTAGAGCAAAAATGCAAATTAAACACAGCTAGCCTCAGATTGCCATCAAGTAAAACCTTCCCACAAAACTGCCCAGACCACAGAGAGTGGGCTATCTGCTTACAAGCCAAGCAGGGGAGATAGCACTGTCTAACCTAGGGCTCAAGGAGACCGCTAGTTAAAAACCCTAAGAAGGGCAGCAATCACTGAGCTAGCACATAGCTATCCTCAGATAGCTAGGCTCTACCCTGCAAAAAAGCCTGCACCGGTCCTTTACGGGCCCACTTAGGGCTAGCCTAAGGGCCCCCAGCGGGCTGCCAGCACAGGGCCTCTGAGATTAGGCTCATTGGCAAAACGTTGGCCCCTTAGTGCTGGCCCTGCACAGGCAGCCCTCACTTAGCCCACACTATTAATCTACAACAAGGGTGCCCAACCTGGTCCTGATCAAACACAACTGAACCAACTAATTAGGATCTGAATGAGCACTTGATAGTTACAGACAGGTTTGTTTAATCAGGGTTGGAACTGAACTCTGTAGGAAGGTAGATCTCCAGGACCAGGATGCACCCCTGATCTATAACAATACATCGGTTTCACCGGCCCGTTTTAGGTTTGGTGTGGGCTGGCCCTAGTCCACTGTGCCCGCAAAAAGCCAGCACATGGCAAAAAAAGCAAGGACATGTTTGCAGGGTAGGAAAAGGAAATCACTGCAATCCCCAGAGGGTGTCTCACCACTAGAGGGGGGAGAAAGGAGAGGTTGGGAAAAGAATGATCAAGTAGCGCCAGCCTCAGGACGCTGGCGATCACCGCGTCTCTTATGTAGCGTGTCCCTGAGATCCTTTTTTCCCTTTGTTAGCATTAGCCTTCCATTGCCAACTAGAGGGAGGAGGGGCACAGTTAGTAACGCTAGACTTCTGATCTTGTCTATGAGCCTCAGCTATAGACAGACAGAGAAATGAACTTCCTGAAAGCAGCTGATTGTGCCACAACCGCCTCGACGGAGGTGCCAAAAAGCTCGGTAGGTGAAAGTGGAACATTAAGAAGAAAGTCCTTCTCCTTCCCGATGGCCGTTAGGTTGATCCACAGATGCCTCTCCATAGCCACATCACTGCCATTGAACACCCAATGGCAGCAGTAGTTTGCTTGGTGGTACGGAGAGCTACATCTGTAGTGTGGGGCAGCTCAGCCGCCTCAGGAGACAAACCTCCATCCTTATCCAAATCACTCAGCATGTCAGCCTGTAAATATAACACTGCCATGGTGTGCAATGCTTCACAACGAACTCGACCTGTGATCCCCACGAGCTGAGTTTCAGCAGCAGCGGGACCCGACAGGTGCAGATGCTTACCCCTCTTTCCTCGAAAAAAGAGACAAACGTGATCAGAGTTTTCGCATAGTGAATTTCTCACAATGCGTGCATTCTGAGCCCTCAAGCACCCAATTTTATACAAGCACCCTTTTATCAACCGCCTAAGACATCACAGGCTATGTGGACCAATAGGATTGGAGTTTTTTTCACACATGCTTCAGCCACCGGTCATGCTGGCAGCATTCCCCAAAGTGTCCGCTAGAGCAGTGGTTCTCAAACCTGTCCTGAAATACCCCCAGCCCTGCACATTTTGTATGTCTCTCTCATCTATCACACCTGATTCAACTCATCAGCTCATTAGTGGAGAATGCATGACCTGAAGTGAGTGTGTCAGATATAGGGAGACATACAAAACGTGCAGTGCTGGGGGTACTTCATGGAGAGGTTTGAGAACCACTGCGCTAGAGGACACAGCAGGAGTTCCCTTGAAGGGGAAAGACATGGGGAAAGACATTATGTTAGAGTACAGTAGGTGATGCTAAAAATGACTAAACCTGTTGTTCAGCAGGTTCAGTTATGGACAAAAGACTCAATTGAGAACCCAAGAGACCAGAGCACTTTCCAGAGCACTGATTGGGATTTATTTTTTAATGATTTTAATTGTTGCAGTAATTATGAATTATTAAGTGATACAATTACTTATTATATTAATTTCTGTGTGGAGATGGTTGTTCAAACTAAAAAGGTTAGCTTTTTTACAGACAACAAATCCTAGATTACCAAGAATCTAAATCTTTTTTTTTTAAATAATGAGGCAGATAAAATAAAAGAGCTAAATAAAGAAGTTAATTGTAAGATAAAGAAGGCACAAATACAGCATAAAAAGAAAGTTGAGAAGAAATTTAAAAGTGGTAATATAAGAGATGCATGGAGGGGATTAAACGCAGTGATGGGTAAAAAAAAGAAAAAAAGAAATGGGTTCAACTGTGTGATGATGACCCCCATAGTTTTGCAAATAACCTAAATGCTTTTTATTCACGATTTGACAATAGTGTAGTTGGTTTGAATAATGAGACAATGACCTACAATCTGAACCTATGAGAATAGGGGAAAGAGAGGTTATCAGCATGCTCCGGAGAATAAAACCAAATAAGGCAGCCAGTCCAGATGGTCTTAAAAGCACTGAGTGTGCCGCACAAATGGGACATGTATGTGCCAGACTTTCTGAAGACTTTTTAGATGATGGCTTTGTACCGGTCACATGGAATACTATCGTTATGCCAGTGCCTAAAACATCTTGTGCTAGTATGCTTAAAGACTTCCATCTTATTGCCCTAACATTCCTTCTGTGCAAGTGCATGGAGCGTATAAAGAAGTATCAGCACAAATTTAAAGGCTCTGTAGATCTACTACAGTTTGCTTATCTGTCCAATCGGAGCACTCTGGATGCCTCTCTGATCTTTATACACAAAGCCCATTATCACACAAACAAACAAATGATCATGTCAAAATTCTCTTTATGGATTTTACATCAGCATGTAATTGTCACAATTCTTTTCTGTGTCTTGTGTTTTGTAAGAACTTTTATGTAGAAATATAGTCTTAGTTTCCTTTGGTTCATGCTTCCTTCCTTTGTTTGGCTTCTTGCCTTGTCCAAATACCCACACTTGCGGTCTTGGCCACTTATGAGCGCATGCAGTCGACAGGGAGTGTGCAAGACTGTCCCAGGTCATAAAAACGCCAAAGCGCAGTGCCCTTAACACACACTAAATCCACACTATCTTAGCGTAGTGTATCCCATCATGCATCATGTTCTGGAAATAAATCGTGATCTTAAATCTTTTTGCCAAGATCGCATGAGAACAGAGGCGGACAAAGTACTCAACTCCATTACTTGAGTGAAAGTACAGATACTGCTGGCCAGATATTACTCCATTACAAGTAAAAGTTGTAAAGTAAAAGTACAGAAGTACTTGCTTTTAAAAGTACTTAAGTACCAAAATAAATTTCCTTTTTTATGTCAATGCACCGTTTTATTGTTGTATGTAATACTTGCAATACTTCTGAAGCAACTTAGAATACATTACACCTACTGAATACACTGACTAGCTTGTAGTATCTTTGGAATAAAGAGCTTTTAGAATGTTAAAAACCTATGGGAAAAAAAACTAAACATAAATAAATAAATAAAAAGCAGGATGGTAGTGATCTCACACAGCTCTGACAGTGAGTGCACACATCTATGTGTAGCCATTCAATCACATTTGAACAGAGTGGACAGTGAAATCCTGTAAATACAGAGTGATAAGGAAGAAAAAAAAGCAAACCTGTTTAAAACCCAGCAACACAACTGAGCTGTACAACTTTACAACAGAAACACTGCTTTAACAAAAAAGCAAAACAACAAGACTTATTTGACATCAAAACAAAACTTTTTAAAAATGCTGTCTAATTGATCTGGCTGTACTTTGATGTCACACACAGAACGGTCTGTGCAGTGCTGCTTCAAGTCCAACACCTTTTGTGTTTTATTAGGAGACACACAACAGTTCTACTGTGGCTTTATAGGTAATATTTTCACCTACACAATTTAACAAAATCAGACAATATTGTGTCTAATATATACCACAATATTAACTTCTTATTATTGAATTGTTGTAAATAAATATCACATTTGCAGCTGGTCAGTGTTCAAAAAATGCTAAGAAATTACTTCATGTAGCCCTACAAGAGTGATTACTGATAAGCTGTCTGAAAAAAAAAGAAAGTCACGTTTTAGAGAAGAAGAAAAATCACCCACTGACTTTCAAAGCTGCTACATAGTAACGACTTTCTACTTCGAGGACCTTGATAGAAATGAAGTAGAGTGAAAAGTACAATATTTGTCTTTCAAATGTAGTGAAGTTAAAGTCATAAGTTCCCAGAAAAAATAATACTCAAGTAAAGTACCGATACTCAAAAAGTGTACTTAAGTACAATACTCAAGTAAATGTACTTAGTTACTGTCCGCCTCTGCGTGAGAATTCACGGAAACCTTTCGAATGTAAGTTAAATATTAATAATAATAAGATATTACATATAATTTGGTAGTGAAAAACAAAGTGCTACAAGTTTTATTGCTGCAAAGATCAGTATATTTTTGTACAACATTTGCAACTGCTTTTTATCACTTAATTAGAAGCACCAGAAATTAAATTGTGTCATCTGTTATTGAACAGACATTTAGAAGTTGATTTTAAATTGCAAAGTATTGAAAATAAAAATTTACGTTTTTACAACACTATAAGTGTGTCCCATCAGGTAATGAAAAATTGTATACACACTTGTGGTCTTCATGCTCACTTGAACACTTGGACCAAATACAGGAAATACGTCATATAAGTAGTCAAGTGCAAAGACCACAAGTGTGGGTATTTGGACAAGGCATCTGTCTCTCCTTGTCTTGTTAGTTACTATGGTTACCCTGATTAGTCCCACCTGTAACTAATTATCCCCATGTTCACTATAGCTGTGTCTCATTTAGAAGGCTGCACCCTCCGGAGGTCGAATCCTCTGGAGGTCGCATCCTCTGTAGGATGCATATACGAAGTGTCCTCAACCTAGAATTAAACGAGACGGCCTTCGTAGGACAGGCGGAAAAGGAAGCCGGAAGTATCGCGTTGCTATGCCAACACATTTAGAGCATCGTTGCGCTCTCACACTAATTAAATGAAGGAGAATTATTTCTAAATTTGGAAAGCAATTAAAAAAAAAAAAGGTTTTACTTGTTTTATTTTGTTCAATGTTTGAGGAGCTGCAGCATACATACAGCAGGCATCTATTAGAGAAAAAAGGAGTAGGTTATTAAAAACAAAGTTTATCCGTTTTTACCGAGGCGAATTAAGGTAAGTTGTAAACACCACATCTGTGCTTGTGTGTACGTTACATCTGCCGGCGCCGGCATTTTTCAAATTAACAACGGTTGTTCACAGCGACGCAAAGAATTGTGGGTTATCTGTAGCAGCGAAGGATACACCTCATGCATCCTCCGAATTCCTGTGAAAGAAGGTCACATTCGAAGGTCGCATTCGGAGTGTCCTACTTGCTTTTCTGAAATGAGACAGCCTCGATGACGTATGCAGCCTTCGAATGCGACCTCCGGAGGGTGCAGCCTTCTAAATGAGACACAGCTTATATAAGCCATTGTGTTTCAGTTGTGTTTGTGAGTCGTTATTTGCTGTTCTTTGAGTTCTTGTTTCATGCTAGGATCTAGTAGTGATGGGAAACCGAGGCTTTCTGAACCATTTGAGGTTTTCATCAAATTGTACTGAAAAACGGTTTATTACTCGAAGCATCGGAGCCTCCAACTTAAATATGTACATAAATTTCAGGATGTGGTGTATCCTCGGGAATCACTTTGGATACAAAATAAACTGCTTTCAAAATATGGCTTTCCAAAAAAAAAAAGTGGGATCTGGGCTTGCCCCCAGTGAGGGTAAATTGAGCCTAGGGAGACATTTACACCAAGACATTTGGCTCAAATTACACCAACCATTTTAACAAGCTTGTATCAACCATCAGTTTAGAGCTAACATCATGCTAACAGTATAGCCTCAGATTATAACTTCCTAAAGCAGAAACATATATATATATATATATATCTAAAAAAAAAATATATATATATATATAATTTATAATTTTTAGATTTGTCTGTAATTGTTCAGACACAAGAAGCATGAGTCCTTGAAAATAAAAAATCACTCTAAACAGCAAAAAAAAAAATTTGAACAATGTAGTTACCAATTATGCCATGGGCCTCTCCATCACTGGGGGAGTAAAATGGACTCATTCTTCATATATTTATGGTCATATCACCAATTTGGTTTAAGGTTGCCTAGAAACAAGGGGAGGCTCAACTTCCCCACAGCCTCAAATCACCCCGCTCTGCCATATATTTACTACTTTGATGTCCTCCCTTCAGGACGTAGGATGCGCATACTATTGACTGAAAAGAACATATGGAAAATATCTTTTGTTTCAATGGCATGTTTTTTATGTTTTGAATGTGTGTTTGATTGTGTATGTATTTAAGTGATGTGTAGTTGTCAATAAGATTTGTTATGCCAGTGCCAAAGATGACTTTCTGTTTGGTGAAAATCTGAACAGACAATGAAGTTTAAAGTAAAGTGAAGATATTATTAATGCTGTGTTGTGTTGCAGGGTCCTCATGGATTCCCTGGGCCAAAGGTACATCATTACGGGATGAAGCATATCTGTGCTATTGTTGATATCAATTACACAGCCATGCCTGTGTCTGAACTTTGTTACTATTGGAATCAGTAGTTAATGAAGTTAATTCAGTTAATGCTGTTACCCAAATTAATCTCATATTTCCTATGGAATACTGAAATTTGGTGTTTAAGGCATGCTGCAAACTTGCCATCAATTGTTCAGAGAGCAAATCACCTTTTTCAGAGATGAAAGTTATTAGTTGAGCAGTGTTGTTTTGTACATACAGAATGCTGTTAGACTTGCAGCAGATATTTTTCACCACTTAAACTCCCACTGTGTACTCCTATACCAAAAGGTTCTTAGTCATCCAACTCATTGTAGGCTATCAGGTGCAATTTATTCAGGAGGATTTAAACCTGTGCTATTTGTCCAGAAATCAAAAGACAAGATTGTTGCCTCCTGAGTAAATGTTACGCAGTATTTCCTGAACTGTCCTCTGCCACTCCTCTCCACTTAGGGGGAACCTGGGTTGCATGGTCTCAAGGGACTGCGAGGGGAACCTGGGCATAAGGGTGACAGAGGACCCCTGGGTCTCCCCGTAAGTACACAACAGCCGTGCAGCCTGGGATCTTCATACTTCATCCCCACTTATTTTGACTCAACATCATCTAACCATTACCACATTCACAACTGTCCATTTGTTTGTTTTCATTGTTGTGACTCATGCAGTCAGCCAATCCTGCTTTGCTGCCCCTTAAACTTTGTGTGCTGGATAAATGTCCATTTGTTTATGTTTGTTACACAGATGTTGACTTTTTTTTTGTCAGAGTGACTGTTCATCATGTACTAATCTCACTTTTCAAACCTCCACTCATACTTCCATAAATGCACAGGGAGCATCTGGCTTGGACGGCAAGCTGGGACCCAGGGTGAGTCTTAAACGGCCACGTTTCGCCCTCCAAGTATGGGATCAGATTCCCGCCAAATGTATTGCAGTCACCGATAAAAAAATAACAAGTATGAAACCAAAATTTTAAAACGCAAGTAAAATTATATTGCACAAAATGTATAATTGAAAGCAAAGTTTTCAGAATAGCAAACAATGGTCACAGATCAAAAAGTAATGTGTAAATCCAAAATTTAATAACGCATTTAAAAAAATAATAATAAGCATGAATCAAAACTTTAAACGCATTTAAAATCATATTGCACAAAACTGAAATATTAATGCAAAATTATCCGAATTGCACACAAAATCATGTTTTCCTTGGTTATATTTTTCTGTTTTTTGTGCTCTCAGACACTTTCTCCACATTTTTATTTTTGTGTATTCTTATGCTGTTTTTCCCTTCACTCTTGTTTCCACGTTCTGTGCTTGCTTTTCCAAATGTAGCGGTTAGAGTTTCATGTAAATCAGGGTGGGCTGAAGCATCATCATTGGTCCAGTAGTTCTAGATTGACAGCTCCTCCTCTAGCCAGTCATTTACATTACATACACACACACACAAAGAAAAACAAGTAGATAGAATAGAAAAAATAGAAAGCTGTTAGTTTTTTTTATAAAAAAGAAGATAAATAGATAAAGTAGAATTAAAATAGAATAGAAAGTGCTAGAGTTAGAGGGTCAAATAAAGATGGAACAGATGTGTTTTTAGTCATTTCTTGAAGATGGCTAAGGCTGCTCGGATTGAGTTTGTGCAGGTCATTCCACCAGGAGGGAACATTTAATTTAAAAGTCTGTGAAAGTGATTTTGTGCCTCTTTGAGATTGCACAATAATGTATCGTTCACTTGCAGAACGCAAGCTTCTAGAGGGCACATAAGTCTGAAGTAATGAATTTAGGTAAATGGGTGCAGAGCCAGTGGTGGTTTGGCAGGAAAAAAACATTAATGCCTTGAATTTTATGCGAGCAGCTACCTGTAGCCAGTGCAATTGATTTGGGCAGGTCATTCCACCAGGAGGGAACAGTTAATAAAGTCTGTGAAAGTGATTTTGTGCCTCTTTGAGATTGCACAATAATGTATCGTTCACTTGCAGAACGCAAACTTTTAGAGGGCACATAACTCTGAAGAAATGAATTTAGGTAAATGGGTGCAGAGTCAGTGGTGGTTTTGTAGGCAAACATTAATGCCTTGAATTTTATGCTAGCAGCTACTGGTAGCCAGTGCAAATTGATGAACAGAGGTGTGACATGCATTATTTTCGTCTCATTAAAGATTAATCTTGCAGCGGCATTTTGGATTAATTGTAGAGGTTTGATAGAAGTGGCTGGAAGACCTGCCAAGAGAGCATTGCAATAGTAAAGCCTGGATAGAACAAGAGCTTGAACAATCAGATGAAGGTGACGTCTTTCCAACGCGCCCCATTAGCTGCCGATGCTCAGTGTTCTGTTCACTTGTACAGGTGAAAATGGATAACTGTCAGCTGGGAAACATATTTGCATATAGGACACGGTTATATGTGTCTGTCTGTCACTGCTGTATGCCTACCTGACAAGCCGTTAACGTTAAATGAGCCATCCTAGCAACCTGTCGCGGTTATATTCACCTGTATTTATTCGCCTCCGGTCAGGCACGTACACACATAGACATCAAAGGGGGCTTGAGCACCTGCCCTTAATGAGAAAGTGCCCTTTTTTCTTGGGGAGTTTTTTTTTTTTAAATAAATGAATATATGTATATATCTGTGCGTATGTGTGTTTCTGTTTGCGCATAGCTTTACCTGTCAAACAAATAAAAAATCTAAATATCACAACCCAGTCTCATAAAAATACGTACCTCTGGGTACTTTTCTGTAACACCGTTTTTACGTACCTTACTGCACGTTTTGCCGCAGTTTCAAAGAGAAATGTCCACTGAGTGGCGCTAAAACACGGATTCAATACGTGAACCCTGGCACGTTTTTATTACGTTGATATAGGTACGTATTGCTGTGTTTTTATTACGTTGCTTCAGGTACGTATTGCGGCGGTTCAGAATTCAAATATCCGGGGACTGTCGCTAAAAGTTAATGCTCTATCGTGTTGGAAATATGCCCTACACCAAACCCAACCCTAAACCTACCCGATAGTGTTAACAAATGCAAAACTGATATAGAAACGCATTTGTTGATGCAACCGTGCCATTTGAACTTACTTATATGCAGATTTGAACTGTTTTGTCAAACCGTAGTTACACGGGATTTGAACCAGAGCTCCTCGCCTCTCAAGTGCGTTGCTGTACTCCGTGAGCTACCGAATAAATCTAGTGTCGATGAAAACCCATTGATATGAAGCTGGATATGTGCGGTGCTAACGTTCAAAAGCATCAGTTTTCAAATCCCCCAGCATATTAAAATTGTTCTGAAGTCATGACATGATATTCTTCAAGTAATTGTGCGAAAATTACGCTTTATTAATCGAAACTCTGTAAATGTGTGTGAAAAGGAATAAAAGGTGTTGGGAGTTTTACTGCCTCTAGTGTTCATTTCTTTTGGAAACTGCATTGATATGTACTTATTGGTACTTATTTCGCGTCTTGCGAAAATGTGCCCCCGGGTACGTTTTTGCCATGAGACCAGGTTGCAACATCAGGTCGAGTTTATTAACTCTGTCAAGTTCTGATGCCTTTCTCCGCGTCTCTGCAACACAGCAGTGTAACGCACATTGATAGGCACATCACAGACAGACAGACAGAGAGCCGCAGAAGTGAAGCCCTCCCTCCCTTTCCAGTTGTGTTTGTTTTGCTGTGGACGTGAGTGGTGATGACCAAAAGACTAAGCTACTTGTGCCTCGAATTTACAGCTAATTATCCAAAAGGCAAATATAGTTAATTTGTCTTGCTAACATCCATGACTCATGAGCTACCATGTAAGTAGCTAAAGTTTAGCTAAGGCAATAGGAAGTGTAGTAGGTTACACCAGTCCGCGTTCTTTCACTGCATGATTCAGTTTATTAAAATGCATTTAGAATGATCAGAAAATTCAAGGTATGGGGACAGAAATGTATATATTTATTTCATTTCATATAGTTAATCAGTATCACGCAAATGTGATTTTATACAGCAGTTCAATAATCAAGAATTTAATATTAAGACACTTACGTTCTTGACACAATATTGACAGTTTTTGCTCTATTTCGCCAACAAATATAATTCCAATTTGCGTCCCTGAGCAACATGATGCTGTTTTGTTCCTGAATTAATCAATCGTTTAAATGATTCGGTTCAATCGCAATGACTCACTTATTAACAGTGAATTACTGCCACTTACTGGCAGTTTTAATTTTACATTTAAAGTATCTTTTCATTTTTTTTTTTTTATAATTTCAAATATCAGTATTTAACGTTTTATGTTTAAAATATCAAAACAGTATTAATGCATTTGTAACTGCAGGTTAAATGCATTCATGTCCTGCATTAAACAGTGTGTAAATGCATCTAAATGCCACTTCGAATTCAGCTTCTGTGTTTTCTCTGCATTGCAAAGATTAATTTTGTCAATACTGATTTAATTTGCTTGGTAACAGCCCAAATGACTTATTATTCTAATTGACTGAATCAATTTAAGATTTTGACTGAAAAGACGATGCACACTTTTAGAAAAAAATGGCTTAAAAATATGTGTCAAAAATTGCTTTTTCTCTGTCGTTTAATTACTGTCGTCCTTATTGTCGTCTTGTTCTGTTGTCCTAACTGTCGTCTTGTTCTGTCGTCTTGTTCTGTCGTCCTAACAGTCATTTTGTTCTGTCGTCCTAACTGTCATCTTATTCTGTCGTCCTAACTGTTATCTTATTCTGTCGTCCTTACTGTCGTCTTGTTCTGTCGTCCTAACAGTCATCTTGTTCTGTCGTCCTAATAGTCATCTTGTTCTGTCGTCCTAACTGTCATCTTATTCTGTCATGCTTAATGTCGTCTTGTTCTGTCATCATAACCTTCATCAGCGCTGTAAAGTTAGTTTCACATTACATATTCGACTAGGCTGCTTTAGGAACTGTCTGCAAATTCACCTCACAGTACAAAACGAAGTACAATAATTCATTCAAATGAATGTTTAGAAAAAACTACTGTAATTCACCAAAAAAGTATGTTCCAAAGGTTGTAGTATGTACCTAGTTACAAAACCTATGAGTTTGCCAATATCTCCCTTACTGTATGTACAGTGCACAAAATATTTTATGAAAAAATTACAGTATTTTACCAATTGTTTTTTTTTCATGTTCCAAAGGTTGTAGTATGTTCCTAGATACTGACATGTGAGATTTTGGCAGTATCTCTCGTCATATTCATCAATACCTTAATCAGCTCAGTAAAGTTAGTTTCACATTTCATATTTGACTAGGCTGCTTTAGGAACCGTCTGCAAATTCACCTCACAGTACAAAACGAAGTACAATAATTCATTCAAATGAATGTTTAGAAAAAACTACTGTAATTCACCAAAAAAGTATGTTCCAAAGGTTGTAGTATGTACCTAGTTACAAAACCTATGAGTTTGCCAATATCTCCCTTACTGTATGTACAGTGCACAAAATATTTTATGAAAAAATTACAGTATTTTACCAATTGTTTTTTTTTCATGTTCCAAAGGTTGTAGTATGTTCCTAGATACTGACATGTGAGAT